GATAATGGTTCAGATAGTGGGCCAAGTCCCGTTTGACTCCTGCACATCAGCCCTATAGAAACCACTGGGATTACTGTGCTGACATAAGGCAAGCAGAATTACAAATATTGAGCATAAATAGCTGTGTAAGACTGAATCCCGTATAAGACTGCTCAGTGTAAAGTCCTGCTAGGTGCTGAAAATCCTGGGAAGTACTGGGTATTCACTGACATCAGAGAAATGCATAGGTGTTCAGCACCTTGCAGTATACATAGAAACAATTTTGAGAGCAAGACGATGTTTAAACATCTCTTTGGACTAAAAAATTTGTCACGGCTAAACCTCAGAGATCCCACTCCACCTTAAGACAGTACATTTACAAGAGGGAGATTTAATACCATTCCAGATCAGACTGTGAAGTACACATGAGATGTGCCAGACCAATTAACATCAGACAGCCTTGGAAGCAGAGAGGAAAAAATATTCCTGGTCATGGGGGGGGGGAGGACTGTGACAGTTTTCATTTGCCAACCACATTTTGTGCTTCTTGGATCAAGAGCATGTACAGGGTTCTTTAATTTTGGCTAAATATCTGGTGTAAATGTGGGTTCCTAGAAATTAATGACAAACACTACATAGCTACTTAAATGCTATCAACGAGGCCTTTATCTAAAGAAAGGTATGTGCCAGTGCTGATTATTTTGATCTGCTTGTGCTTTCAACAGATGTATTTATTGGAAATGATTTATGAGAAATTTTAGTACTCCTAACAGTGCAAGTCCAGTGCCTGCCCCAAGGCTGAGAGTGTGCTACAGTGGAAGCAGACCCTGAGCACACTCCACCCCTCATCCCAGCTCTGCAAATGTATCCTAAGTCTTCATCTATAGCAAAAGTAATTCTTGTGGGCAGTCATGGCCAATGGAGCCAAACTATGATGAATCTCCTGACACACATTAGGCTAAGACCAGCAAACTCAGTTCACAGGTGAGCTAGATTGTGAATTTAGGTTTTGGAGAAGGAAAGCTGGTGTGCACTGTCCTCTTGCACTGCTCTGCATCCCTCACTCAGGCATAATGTGGTCAGTATCTCTGGGCACGTTACACATTCACTTCATGAAATTTCCTCTGAATGTTGCTTCAGTAGGCCAAAGAAAAAGGTGTTGTCCCACTCTAACTGCTTTTCTTTGGGTAATTTTCTGTGATTTCCTGCTTGCCTGATCTGCACCCTCCCAACCCACTGGGAGGAATAGGAAGGCCAGAGCAGGACCAGGTAGACTGGCATTTGGTTATGTTGCTGGACACTAGTGGAAATACTGCCAGACAGAGTGGGAATCATGCCACATAAAGCAGCTGATCTTCTTCATTCACATCCTTCCCATGTCTAATCTCACTAAGCCCCAACCACGCATAACTGGGAGGGACTGGCCATGCCAGAGTCAGCGGTTTGCCCCAAGAGAGTTTTCTGCCCCATTGGGTTTTTTCCCCCATGTCCCTCCTCACCTCAAAGCAATGGGGAGGAGGGGAGAGGGTTTTAAGGCCTTGTACACTTTATTGGTTTTGTGGTTAGGGGACAAAACAAAAAGGAAATGGCAAATATTGCTTCAAAATACCTATGGGCTTTTGAAACATGTATGAAGCTGTAAGGCTGTGCTGTAATCTCATACAAGTGCCAATCAGGTGCACCACCACTGACAGGTATGGCTTTATATCAATAACACAGAAGAAAACTGAGATCAGAAGGAAGCCTATGATGTTTACAGAAATCTAACATGTCAATGCAAATAGGTGCAAAATCAAAGCAAGGCTGTGAACACAAGAAGCTTCATGAACTTGCCAAAATTGCATGAAAGGAGCAAGGTTCAAAGAGCATCACTTAGTTTGGCAAATGAAACAATTAGGGCCACCAGAGTTTCTAATGCTGCAGCTTGATCCATTTTAATTCGGATTCCGATGAAGAAAAAAAGGATGCAGAAAATGCAACATTTGAAAGGTGCCACATGAGATGGAATCTGGTCCTGTTTATGTTAATGGCCCGTCTGTGGTTTGGAGTTTGCTAGGAGAGAACGGAGGTTAAGAGTGACACATAAGGATTAGGAAACAGCAGGAAATTTCTCTTAAAAGGATAAAATGGGCATTTTGCATTCACCAGCACTTACCTCCTGCTCACGTTGAAATATTACAACCCGACCCCCCTTGTCCCCTGTCGCTAGTAATTCTCCTGTGTGGTTGAATTCTACTGTAGAGATAATGTCAGCTGAAAAGAAGACAAAGGCAATTTAAGTAACTGCAAAGACTGGCTTTTCATAGGCAACTTAAAGGCACCAATCCCTGTTCAGTTAAGGCAACATGTATTGTCAATGCTTTGTCTTCCCAGTACAATGTCCAGAGTCCTTATATTTTCTGTTGTCCACAACAAGCATCACAGAATTTCAGAACACAATATACTAAGAATGGGGCATAAAACCAACACCTGAAATGAGCACTGAATTTCCAGGTCATTAAACACTAGATTCCCATCTGGATATTTTGCATCTCCATTGTGGTGTGGCCCAAATCAACACACGCCACAAATTCTGGCTAAGTTTAGCGCTGGAGTCATATACAGACCTGGGGCTTCTGTCCATTTCTACTATTTACATGCAAGGAAGAGCTGCCCAAGTATTCTTTGTAGGCAAAGGCAAGTTTCATTTCTGTCCTTGCTAAATAGATATATTTTCTTTCCTTGGCTATCTCCGCTTCCCTCTGGGGGACCAATGTGTGTTTCTACCTCTGCAGAGTCAAAAAGGATATAATCCAGGGGAACTGGCTGGGCATGACCACAGTCTCCTTTTCAAGCCCTCACAGCAAACAGCAGCCTTAGACCCCCTTTTCACTAGAGAGCCCCATTTTATATGTAAGACTAAGGAAACAAAACAAAACAACCTCTCCTCCCATGTCCCACCGCAAGTGCCTCCACTCCAAAGCCATGTAGCCCCCCACCCTCCTCTCAGATTGTTCCTTAGACTGCACTGTCAGGAAGTCTGTGGACAAGGAAACAGGATCAACGCTATAACGAGGTGAAGGGGACAAGCAGATGAGAAACGAGAAAATAGACAGGAACCTTTGGCTTAAAAGGGGGTAACCCTATGGGAATGCCACACTTGAAAGGCTTTCCCCAGTGGTGTTTACCCCTGGGGCAAAACAGGCAGGAGAACTGCTGATGATTGGGTTTATTAGGCCTACTTTGAGAAAGATGTCAGGGGTTAATTCTACTGCAATTACTGCCCTATTGGCGCTCACCAGTTGTCTCTGAGTGCAGCATTCAGCAAACGCAAAGCAATGTGGGGGGGGAAAGGAATGTGGCTCCTCAAACACAGCAGTACTGCAGGCTAAAAGAATTGATTTGAAATTGAAAAGCACTTAGTTTTAGCATCCAGTTCATGTGTGGTAAGATTGGAACATGAATCTCTCTTTTCATCCTTCATTTATGTAATCTCTCTGTGTCTATGTACTTACATATGCATGGCACACATATACTCTTCCCTTTCCTAAACACATACACTTACACCCTACTTGTGTATATATGCGTGTACACAGTGCATAGACACACTCAGACACCGTCTGAATGCTTAGAGGTTAAATATCGGTTTAAATGCTGTTCTGAATAAGGATATATTTCTGAACCTTTTGAATAGACTGTAAATACCACAATGGCTTCTCTCATTTTTTTAAATGTATGTTTATGGGGCAGAAGAAAAACATCTAAAATGAGTCAGCACTGAATTGGACCCCCTAAATTTTTAATACTCCATTTCAATATATATGAGGAAGCCGGTGCAATGATGAGAGAGAGAGAGGAAGAGAGAGAGGGAGATCTGCTGCAAATGCTGGTTATTGTCTACATCTGTTACAATATGAATGAAGATCCCATCCAGCAAAAATGAACCCTCCCCCCAGCAAGTCCTGGAAAACTGTTTTGAAAGCTGCTAGAACAGGAAGCCTGACTCCTGAGTCTGTTTTCCCTGTCCGTGGTTCTTGCTTCCTCCATCATGTTAACATGGTGCTCAGTGATCTCAAGTTGCATTAATCTTTCCTTTACTCTTGTTCTCAAACTGGTACCTTTGCATCCTCAAACTGCATCTGCCCTTTTCCAGTCAGTAGGTCTAATTCTTCCAGACTGTGAAATCTCAATGCCAAAAGGCAGAAAAAAAAATTGTCCCATTCTAAACAACATTGGTATGATTTACCCATTTTGCTAGAGTCTGATGGTTATTTTTCCTCATCTTCTGCCTGAATCCAGCTGTTGCCCATTGACCTAACCTTAGTCTGGGGAGTGAGGACTTTGTACACTCTCATTTCTAAAGCTCCTCCTGGCTGGGTGGCAATGGATGATTCTTCTTCCCAGAGAGCATAATGTTTGTATCTGCCATGTATTAAAGCTCCTACTGGTGTACAACAAAAACAGTCAGTCTAGGATGCCCTTCCCTATTCATCCCCAAAAAACATGTTCTTACAAAAGCTAGTGACATTCTGCTTCACAGAGGCCTGCAAATTTGCAGTAGCTCTACTAACTCACATGCTTTGCCCCAAACTGTCACTGGGCAGTGTCTACCTATACACTAATAGCTTAATCTGGATAGAAGGCAGGAGGTATTTTGAGACCTGCCATCAGAGAACAGTCATTGTTACCATCAGTCTCAGACTAACTTCACTATCCCAACCTCCTACAAATGGCCCATGAACAAAGGTCAAGTTTCGTATTGCACTCATTCACAATAGGCAGTCCCGATAGACTGACTCACCAGTTAACATCATAACTTCTGCCTCTCACACTTTGTGTTAAATTATCTTGTGCCCACTCCCTCCCAGATATGAAGAGAGATCCAAACATTATTAATGCAGGGAAGACTATGATCTTTGAGTAACAAGCAGGAAAATTGCCTTCCAGGATGGAAGGAGAGTGGGTACACAGGGCCATCTACAATTTATTCATAGTGTCCATTGCTTTGTGTCTTCAAAGGGACATCTCTGTTCACTCTTTAGATCCAATCTCTCCCTGAAAATGTGCAAGGAGCCCACCATGTCTGCTGAGCTGTGAAAATCCAGATGGCAGCAGGCAGGTGAGTAATGAACTCCATGCTGCTTCTATTAATATTCGCACATCTTTCTCACATTGCCCCATCTCTCCAACATTAAGCATATTTGTAATGACATGTGAACACGTTCTGAAGTTTGTCTTAATTCATTTATAACATTTGGTTGCTGTGAACAGATTTAGGGAGACAATTTCATTGCAGACAGAGCCAGCTCTGCAAGCAAAGAAACCCAAGAGGATTAATGGTAAACACCCCATCCCTCTGAACAAACAGAAATGTCATGTGTGGCAGGGAGGTTGGACTGGGCTATCACTGAACTGGAAAGCTCTAAGGTGAAGCACTTCTATTCCATCACATGGAGTCCTTCTGCTTCAGATAGGATTTGCATGTAGTAAAAATCTGCCAGAAAGGTTTTAGCCATCTGCCACTAACTTTCACAAAAAGGGCTGAACAACAGTGTAGAAGGGCCAAATTTTCCTCTCAGTTACACCAAGCTAAAGCCAGGCTAACTCCACTGGAGTTGTTAGATAGAAACAACATTTATTATGAGCATCACCCCTTCTTAGTAAAACATTTCATGACTAGATTCCAATTTCCTTCAAATGCGTCTGCTATTCCTATCATGAATGCCTCAGATAAATCGTTAGAGCCTATGGGCTGCTGGCCAATTATTATCTCCATTTCACAGATGAGGAACTGAGGGACAGAGAGAGATTTAGACCTAATCTGCACATATTTTATGTAGTATAACTATGTGAGCAAGAGTGGGAGATTGTTTGCCAATACAATACCTAACAATACAATACCTTGCTGCAGTTAGACAAGTGTAAAAATGCCTTCTCCTAGTGTAACTTACTCCCTGTCCCCCCATAGGAAAAGCTGTATGAAATCCTTATCCCAGTATAATTGTGTCTGACCTATAACAGTTGTAACCACTTCATCCTAAAATAGTTGAAGGAGCAGAACTTAAAATTCACAACTATAAAACATATATCCCAAGGCAAATTTAGTACCTAATGCCCCCAAATTTTAGGTGTTCATACTGGAGTTTTGTCCACGTCCACTCTAAAAAGTTGTGTGTACACAAGCACATTTGTGCAAATTAATCAGTGGGAGTCAGACACCGATATAACTTTAAGAATCTAGGCCGTTGTCAAAGAGGAAGACTGTGGAAGAACCAGAAACTGAATCTATGTCTCTCAAATCCAGTCCTATGTGTTAACTGCAAAACCACTCCCTCTCTCCACCCCTGTACACTCCCTGAAACATCTTTTAACATGATTCTTCCCTGATGATAAGTCTGTAATTTATTATCATATTTAACTTTGAGATTGTAAGGGCCTGGATGACTCTGGGAAGGGATAAATCTGACACACTGCCTTTGACCTCCAGACCTGTAGCTCAAATTAAACCTGGATTGGGAGTGAACAGAATCGTCAGTGACCCATTGCTTCTTTTCAGCATGTAGTTTCACCCTGCATGGCACCTTAAACCAAACAATAAATACACTGCCAGATTACTTGCACATGGGCAACATGACCTCCATGAACTTCCTCTTTAGTGCTTCTCTTATTATTACTACTTAGTTTTGAAAGAAAGAAACCAGAGTCAAGCCTGGCTTGGACTTGCCAAAGATGTATAGAGAACCTAGAAGGGAAGAGAGAGGAGCAGTAGTGCCAGGAATGTCCAGGCTGCTTGAATCTGTGCAACACTGACTGTGATGCTGATTTACACTGCATGTCCTTATCCACCTTTAAGTTACTTTCCATACTATGCCTTGTATAGATGCTGGCAGTTACCAGGAAGTGTAACTGTCTTGGGAAAGTCCGACCTCTCAAGCTTGTCCCTTGGAGATCTAAAAGGGCTATGAAAGATGAATCAAAGGGGAGAAATGAACAGCAGTAAATAGTGATGAAGTGATTAATAATGATATAAAGAGTCTGGATTTTTGCCTTTGTCTCCTCTGGGAGGGCTGTGTGCAGATTATGCATTCAGATAAGTGTAAGGAACTGTACTATGCCTGCCCGTGGACTGCCTCATAGCCTCCAACTCTTGCATGTGTAGATAGGGCTAAGAGACCCTAATGATGCAGGCTACAGTTGAACTGGTTAACATTCCCTGTTATCCACAGGCTTTAGTGATGATCCAGCTGATGTGTATGTGCAGGTATCAGCCTCTCGTGTGCATTTCCAGCACTAATTCAAGATACTGCCAGAACTGCCCCCACTGCCTCCACAAACTTAAGCGTCTAAACAAAACTGCTGCTAAACACCAGCTCTCTGACCTGCCACAATGCTGTTATTTAGCTTTGACTTTATTATAAAGAGGACAGGGATCAATTGTTCTTTACATCCAGTGGGGTAGGCCAAGACATAAATGGGCTGGAATTTGTATTCGGAAGATTAGTGTTAGATATTAGCAAAAATTTTCTACCTATAAAGGCAGAGTGGAAGCTTTGTAATTGGAAATTTTAAGTGCAGGTTACATGAACATTTATTGAGGGTGGTTTAGGTAGAGATTATCTTGGCTGGAGCAAGGGAGTTGAATCAGATAACCCCTTTAGGTCCCTTCCAGCCCTATTTTTCTACCATTTGGAGACCCTTAGCAGCCTCTTGTTTGAAGGGAGCCACGTTCAGCAGTGCGGAAGTGAAACACGCAAAGCCCCAGTGCACAAAACATCCAGCTTGTGCAGTGTGCTTTCAGAATGATGAGATTATTGGCATAAAGCTTCTAATTACTTCACAAAAGGACAAAGGAAACGATGCTGCAATTCCAAAGTACAGGGCAGATATTTTTAGAACTCCACTAAATGCTTGCAGTGAGACCCTAAGCAAATTACACCTGGTTTCAGGTTTTATCACAAATTTAAAATCAACCTGGGTGTGCTGAAAAATCTGAGGGCCTTCTAGAACTGACAACCAATTTGAGACAGCAAATAAAGGGATCCAGTACCTGATCCGATATTCATCGAGTAAAACTGAAAGATTCCCTTCCAGTTCAACCTGCCACTTTAATTACAAATCACAACTCGGCTATTAACAGGGCTTCTATATTCTTGTCTCAGGAAAAGGTAGGAATCTCTAATTTGCATCTTTGGACAAGAATATTGGATACACTCAGTGACTGACGGTTTCTCTTCACTTTGAAATTTTGGGTTCATTCACACCTGCAAACCCAGAACAAGAGTTGGTTAGGAAGGCCTGGCAAACACATATGGGAAAAACGTGAGGAAGGTGTCTGCACATAACAGTTACATGTTTCTCAGATCTCAAACTTGATCATACCCAGAGCCAGATCTGAATTTCACAGATGAAACCTGAACTCACCCATACTTTGAGAAGTTTTTGTTTGGAGCCAAACCTGGATACATACCTTGGGATTGGCTCAACTAAGAACATCACTTTTCATTTATGGCATTTTCCTGAGTGCCGTATATTTTAAGCTTCCAGTTTAAATAACATTTTATGACTAAGATTCATCAAATTCTAGCTAAAATTTAACTATCCTGACCCCCAATTTCCTAATGGAATTGCTTCTCTGTAGTAGCTAGGATGCATTAAGATGGAGGCAGGAAACTTAAACCTAGCATTTGTTTAGGATTGTTTCAGATGAGAGCTATTTGGTAGCAAAGTCTGAACTAGGTCCATACCCACTGCAAATTCCATTAATCAGCTCATTCTCTTGGAAGAAGTCATGTGCCATCTCTCTTTGCCAGTGAAAGCACTGGTCTGGAACACAGTAACAGAGGAATTCTATACCAGATCAGGCCTCAGGAGATCAGGGTTCGCTTCCCGGCTTAGCCACATATTTCCTCTGGGACTTTGAGCAAATCAAATCTCTCCGTTTCTCAGCTGTAAAAATGAGGATAATGCTTCCCTGCCTAACAAAACACTGAATGGTATGATTCATTAATATAAAGACAGACACTGATCTTCTGAGACCACACCATCATAACATATAGGATTGCTTGTCAACCCAAGATTGGCATAAAACCAACCACAAGGCTGTTTAACAACAGAAGTATGGATTAGAGATTACAGCAGAGAGATAGGTGACCTAAGGCTTGATTCTTTTTCTATAGGATAATGGGATGACGTCAATGAGAGATGCTTATATAGAGCTTGTGCCAATACCCCTGAACTCAACAGGTGTCTTTCTATTTCTGTCTCTTCTCATCTCTACTGTGGGTTCCTTACCTTCGGTAAGTCTTCATGTTCAAGACCCTTCATAGCTTAGCCTACTGCCTGTCATCTCTCATTTTCTAATCAGCCCAGACCTTTTAGACCTAGCTCCAAACTTGACAAACCTTGTGGGCACTGGTAGCTCAGCACCTTTGGGTTATATCTTTACAGACAAAAAAATGCCTTTCCAAAGGATAAATATGTATTAGCTATTTCTCTGTAAAAGAGAGGGGACAAGAGTGGTAAACTAGGTATGATCAACAACAGGTGGTGGGTATTGTGTTGACTTTACCTAGATTTCTGAGGATAAATTCTACCTTTTTCCCCCATAAGGCATTTGCTCTTTCGCCATAAGAAAAGATAAAAGAAAAGGAAAAAACCAGAAAGACCTCACCACACTTGTTAGTACTCCATACTCTGTGCTATCTGCCTATTCAGGGTTGAGTCCATTTCAAGATCCTGGTTCTTTTATCTTTAAAGGTCTAATGGGTAAAGAGAAACTGCTCCTCATACCTCCTCTCACTGGCAGCTGATAGCAATGCTGAGGGTTGATGGACAATCTCTTTAGGCTGCTGGTAGCTAAGCCTGGATCAAGCTTACCTCAGTTCTTGTCACCGCCAGGGTGCAATGAAAAAGACAGATCCCTGGAAAAACTCTTCTTTAAGATGAAATATAAGGAGACCACAGCTACAGAAAATAAACCACCTACATTGTACTCCTTTTTAGTGCATAGAGAAGGAAATGGAGGGTCTGCTCTTGCTGCACTTATCTAGCTGCGCTCAGACAATACACTAAATGACAGAAAGGCTTGCAGAGTAATTAGGATAAAAAAGAGATT